ATGATAAATATGGAAAACATCATACTTAGTGAAATAAGCTAGTCCCACAGGACAAATATCATATGTTCTCCCTGACCTGTGATAACTAATAGAATACCTAAAAGGTAATCTGTAGAAGTGAAATTGACACTTGGACAAGCAATGACTTGAACAGCTCTTGTCCTGACTGTTGAGGAACAGTTTTGTTTTGTTTTTCACTATGTTGAACTCTCTACTGACAGTTATTCATATGTGTATAAAGTCAACTGAAAACAGATCTCAGTAAAAAATAAAAGTGGGAATAAGAGAGGGAGGAGGAAGGGGATGGGAGGATGAGTGGGAGGGAGGGCAAGGTAGGAAGAATCACCATGTTCCTAAAGTTGTAAAAATGAAGTGTATGAAGTTGGTAACCATAAAGCTGTATAGTTCTGCATACACTCTCTACAGAGTTACTTTTAAGAGCACAGTTTTTTGTTTTTTTTTTTTGTTTGTTTTTGTTTTTTTTTTGTTTTTGTTTTTGTTTTTTTTTTGACAGGCAGAGTGGACAGTGAGAGAGAGACAGAGAGAAAGGTCTCCCTTTTCTGTTGGTTCACCCCTCAATGGCCGCTGCGGCCAGCACACCGTGCTGATCCGAAGCCAGGAGCCAGGTGCTTCTCCTGCTCTCCCATGCGGGTGCAGGGCCCAAGGACTTGGGCCATCCTCCACTGCACTCCCGGGCCACAGCAGAGAACTGGACAAGAAGAGGAGCAACCTGGACAGAATCCGGCGCCCAGACCGGCACTAGAACCTGGGGTGCTGGCGCCACAGGCAGAGGATTAGCCTATTGAGCCGTGGTGCCGGCAAGGGCACAGTTTAAAAACTTGCCAAGGGGCCCCAAATCCCCTTAAGCTGGGTGTTAAAAATACCACCTTAAGTATCAAACTGATCATATGGATTAAGTATCTGGAAATAATAAATAGAATTAAAAAGGAGGGAATGCTCCAACATGGGAAGCAGTCTACACAGCCAACTCAGGATGCAATAGCTTTAAGTAGCACTCTAACCTCAGAATCCACCCTTAAGACATTCTGTTATGGCTGAAAAGCCCATGAGAGCACTTCAGGCATGGAATGCCAAGACACTGTGGTAAAAAATGTCCCACATTAAGGACCTCAGTGGGTGGGACCTAAGTGGAAAGAAGTGGTCATCAAAGAAGGATGTACTTTTCTCTGAAGAGAACAGGAACTTTCACTTTGTTTATGGTCTTATCTAAATACTGATGGAGTTTGTAAATTCAAAAGGCTTCCATTGCCTAGGCAGCTCATGTCAAGAGCCTTGGGTAATCACTGGCATCACACATAAGAGTGTTAATTGTTAACAAGAGTCAGTTGGGGCCGGCACTGTGGCATGGCTGGTAAGCAGCTGCCTGCGGTGCCAATAACCCATAATGAGCACCGGTTTGAGTCCCAGCTGCTCCACTTCCAATCCAGCTTTCTGCTGTGGCCTGGGAAAGCAGTGGAAGATGGCCCAAGTCCTTGGGCCCCTGAATCTGTGTGGGAGACCTGAAAGAAGCTCCTGGCTTCGGATCAGCACAGCTCCAGCCGTTGTGGCCAACTGGAGAGTGAACCAGTGGATGGAAGACCTCTCTCTCTTCTCTCTCTCTGCCTCTCCTCTCTCTGTGTAACTCTTTCAAATAAGTAAACAAATCTTTAAAAAAAAAAAAAAAGGAGTCACTGCACTAACTTCCCATCCAGGACCTCTGTCCTCAAAGAGTTGTGCTCACAAAAGATGTGTCATTCTTGGATGCCTTTTTAAAGTTAATTAAGTTTCTAAAAAAAGAGAGAGAGAGAAGTGAAATTAACTTCAAGATGCAATGACTTTGAACAGCCCTTGTCTTGACTGTTGAGGAACAGTTGTTTTTTCCACTGCAAATTGTTGAACTCTTTACTTAGTACAGAGTTGGGCTTCTTTGTATAAAGATAACTGAAAATGGATCTTAGTGGAGATTGGGACTGGGAATGGGAGAGAGAGGAGGAGATGGGATGGGAGTGTGGGTGGGAGGGCAGGTATGGTGGGAAGCATCACTGTATTCCTAATGTTGTATTTATGAAATGCATGAAGTTTGTATTCCTTCAATAAAAGGTTTCTTTTGGGGGGGAAACCCTCAAATTTAAATGTGTGTATATATATAGTATATAAATAAATGGAAAATTTATTATGAAAAAAAAAAAGTTAAGTAACTTGATTGATACAGAGCTTGTGAGTACCAGAACAGGAACTACAACTCAGGTCTCCTAATCCTTAGTCTTTTGTTTTTCCCACTGGAGTCCCTTTCTAGTCCCAGAAGTAGAATATAAACAAGAAGCAGTTCAAATTCGACAGACCTTCAGTGTAGGTCATTGTCTTCTCTGCCCAAACTGCTTCTCCTTTTGCTTGTGACAATGGCATCACCACCTTTATCACCCAAAGTGGATCTCAGAACCAACACGAAAGATGGATTCTACCTTTGAAATATGGCTTTGCCATCTGCTCTGAGTCTCTCCATGTCTCTCCCAATGCTACTCAGCTTAAAAAACACCTTGCTATCATAGTGCTCTATCAAACACTTCTCTGCCATCTCATTCTGCCTAAAAACTTAGTTACCACCCACTGTTTACAATAAAAAGTTCAAATGTTGTAACCCACTAAGACTTTCCATTTGTCCCAAACCTACTTTTGAAATATTATTTCCTAGTAGTACTATACTTCACACACATTGTTTTCTATTCAGGGTCAGCACGGTGCTGCCATTCTAATCAACCCCAACATTTCCTCCTATCTTTGTTTATACTACGCCTTTCACATTGCAATGTGCTGTTCCAAAAGCACTCTAGCAAGGAAGCCCTGCATGAATTCCATAATCCATAGTGATCACAATCATTTCTGAATTCCCTAGCCTTTAACCTGCACCTCTGGACACTTACTTTCTAGCCTATGTTTACCTATATCATGATTCTTATCACCTTCACCTTGGCTTCCTGTGAACAGTTGGCATGCTTATCTCATTTACTCACTCAAGAAAGATGTACTGAGTCCTCACTATATTCTAGGAACTGGGGTACAGCATGGAATACAACAGATCAAAACACTCCCCTCATGGAGTTTACCTTATGTTGGAGGGAGGGCAAAAAAATAAATGACATTATATTGGAAAGTGGTAAATGCTAAGGTAAAAAACAAAGCACATCATGAGGACTGGGAGTTGAGTTAGGAACTAACTTGAGCAAAAGCTTGAAAAAGATGAGAAGATACAGCAGAGAGAGAAGTACAGAGGCTCTGTAGTACGAGCAGGTACGCTGTTTTCCAGGCAGAGAGACAAAATGGTTGACCCTGAGTGAAAGTAGGTGGGACATCGTGGGTAACAGATTAAGGGGAGTGTCAGATCACATGGAGGCCCTAAGGGCTATACACACATCCAAAAGACATGAAACAGACTTGCAATTCATTTATTTTGCCAGATCATAATTTGCTTTCATCTTGTATAGTTGTTCTATTTCAAGTTTGTTTACATAACAGATTCAAGTTAATCAAATGTGTATAAAGTTAATTAAAAAATAGATCCTAGTAAAAAATAAAAGTGGGAATAGGAGAGGGAGGAGGAAGAGGGATGGGAGAGTGGGTGGGAGGGTGGGTACGGTGGGAAGAATCACCATGTTCCTAAAGTTGTAATTATGAAATGCATGAAGTTTGTATTCCTTAAATAAAAGGTTTCTTGAAGGGGAAAAAAAAAAGATTTGAAGAAACGTTTAAAGTTATTTAACGCTGAGCCTGTTCTAGCCTGAGTTCTACAACACAAGACATCTCCCCCCTTTTCTATTTTATTTCTTTTAGCTTGTCAAATAGGGACTTTTTAAAATTTACTTTCATTTTATTTAAAAGAAGGAGGAAGTGGAAGAGGTGGAGAGAGAGATATTCCATTTGCCAGTTCACTACCCAAATGTCTGCAACAGCCAGTGCAGGCCAGACCAAAGCCACAGGCCAGGAACTCAAACTGGGTCTGCCACATGGGTGGTAGGGAACCAAGTACTTGAGCCATCATCTGCTGCTTCCCCAGGATGTGCATTAGCAGGAAGCTGGATCAGAGGTAGAGCCCAGACTGGAACACTGATACAGAACATGGGCATCCCAAGCAGCATCTTAACTATCACTCCAAACTCCTGCCCTGAAATTTTTCAAGTAAATTTTACTGAGTATATTTGAGGTTTAACAATATGTTATGAGATAGATAGTAAAATGATAACTATAGTGAAGCAAATTAACATATTTACCATCTCAATTTTTTTGGTGACAAGAGCAGCTAAAATTTAATAAAAATCCCTAATATAATTTGGTTAACTATAATACTCATGTTGTACATTAGAAACCCTAGACTTGTTCATTCTACATATCCACTTTGTATCCTGTGACCTGTATCTTCCATTTCTCCCCCTCTCTTACCTGCTGTTAACCACGTTTTATTCTCTACAGAGAAACCCATCTTTCTGTTCAACAGCACAAAATATACCCATCAAATATATTAGATTTTGCTGAAGCTTATTGTATCTTTAACAATACTTAAAAATTCATGTTTTAATGAGTGAATAATATTTATACAATAGAAATATCCTGAAAACAAATGAAATTGTTTTCATTATTCCTCAGTAACAGCTACCACTCATGGAGCACCTTTTCAGTTGATTTACATGCATCATCTCTCGTCTACAAAAGGCATCATCATATCCACTTTTCAGCTACAGAAACACACCTCACAAAGGGAAAGTCACATGCAGAGGAACACAGAGAAAGTTAGTGGACTTTGCTTCTACACTTTGCCCACAACATATTCAAACTTTAGAATTCTTAGTCTTTACCTCTTACGGATTTTCAGTGCTACCTTGTTAGCTTTGATACTGTCCAACCTTTTGCTTCACTTTTTTTTTAAAAGCACCACTTAAAAATACTACAGAACCTAGTCTCCAATCCTAATGCAGTACATGAGTTATAAATTAAAATTTTTAACTTACACGTAAGCTTAATATGTTCTCTCTTATGAAAAAAGGGCTGGAAGGGGTTAAGAGATGATTTATGCACTCTCATTTCCTCGTAAATGCTACCCTTTATTCCCATTTAAAGTTTTAAGCCCTGGCAGAGTGGCTCCAGCCTAGAAAGAAGAAAATACAGAAGTAGACAAAAGGACTGAGTAAGGTTACTAAGTACTTTTAAAAATATGGCTACTAGCCTCGGTACTCATCTTACTTACCAACTCAAACAAAACACACTCTATGCAGAGTATGACATACTGCTTCGACAAACAGCTCACAGAAGTGAAAGATCTCCAGTTTCTATTTCCGCTTATTACATGGTTTTTCAAAGTAACTAGCTGGGCACGTGGTATAGACAGGATTTCTAGAAAGAGTGCTTAAAATGTAGCCCGTGTTCAACGAGTTTACAACGCTGACAAATTAAGCAGCCCAAGCACAGGACTAAGCGTACTCTAGGTTTTGCGCAATGGTTTGCGGGGGGAGATGGCAGTTTGATTTTTTAAAGTTAGAGGAATAGAAAACGGCCATGTTCACGGCGCCTCAGTAGTTCTACGGCTTCTCCAGCTGTCAGTTATCATTCCTGCGGTAGATAAGCCACCCTCTCCAACTCACCGAGACGAAACTATGTGAACGAGCTTAACGAACGCGCTCCCGACAGGGCCAACGCGCCAGGTGTCCGCGGGACGGGTCCACCGCGGGTTCCTGCCTGCCCTGCCCGTCACCAGGAAAACCGCTTCCACAGAACGCGCGGAAAGTCACCCCCGAAAGGCTCGTCCCCGACCCAAGCAGGGCGGGCTCGCCCACAAGCCAACCCCTTCGCGCTCGCCTGAAAGGAACGAGTGGCGACCTCGCACCAGGCGCCTGGCTGGCCGCGCGGGTCCCCTCGGTGACCTGGCCCCTGACACCGCGGTTCACACACCCACACAGGCCGCACCGGCCTCGCCCTCCTGCGCTCGCGCGGCCACCACCTTCGTCGCCGTCCAGGGGGAAGTGCGAGCATCCGGGACTGCAGCCGTGCGCGCTGCCTCCTCCATGGGGAGCGCCGACGAGTTCCTGCCCCGGACGACCTACGGCCCCGCAGCTGCAGGGACCGACGGCCGCCGCCGAGAAAACGCTGGGCGCGGCCGAGTGACGCCAGCGGCCGCGCACGCGCAGGAACGCGCCGTGCAGGCCCCGCCCCCCCGGCCCCTCCTCCCGCTGGGTTCCGGTTTCACGACGAATCCCTTGTCTGTGAAGTGGCGAGCCGGGCGCCGGTCGTGGGCTCAGCGGGCAGGTTTATAGGCGGTATCCTTCCAGGTGGCCTTTGCCCGTCGCGTCGCCAGAACGAAGTCCCGTGCGGTGCTGGTGTAAGCCACGAGTTCCCAGGGGGCAGCCATGGTGCTGCGAGGGGCGAAGACCGAGATGCCGGGGGCCGGAGAAACCGCGCGGCGCTGTCCTCCCAGGCGCTAACCGACCGAATGCCGTTGTGGCTTGGTAAAGTTTGCCTGCGAGTTTGTGATTTGCTGAAAAGCCTGCTTGGATGCTTGGAGCAGACATTTAATTTTCACGCGATCCATAGGAGACCCACTAATAGGAGACGCGCTGAGGCTAACTGTCGTGTAATGGAAAAATTCTCCAGGACTCGCCATCATGGTTTTCTGGAAACAAGACCAACGTGAGAGACAGCACCTAGCTTGATGAGAGAGGGAGGCCTGCTGGACTTGTTTTCTGCCCACAGCTGCCGTGTGGTAGGGCTCACTGTGCAGCTTCTAATTTAAAAGCCTTTTAAACCACTGTGAACATGGCAAGCGTGACTCAGAACTGGTTCGGAGAACCTGTTCTGTTTACTTGTTTGGAATCAGCCACGTTCTAGGTAGATGACATTGAGGAACTATGAGTATTGCAGAGAAGTCTTTAATGATATGGTAGGCAGATGACAAATGGCTGATTGTCCACCAGTCCATATGCCCACTCATTTTGCAGTTGTGGGGAGCAATCCGGACTAGACTAAGTTGCTCGAATTAGGACTTATTCTATGCATCTGCTCTCCCACAATATGGCGCTGGGAGAGAAGTAAACAGCTTCCGCACAGCTGCCTCCAGTTCAACCAATTAACTGTAGGACTTGCTCCTGATTGGAGAGCAGCGTACTCAGCCGAGTTGGGATTGGCAGAGAAGGACTATAAAGGAGGAGAGAGACGGCATGCACCAGGAACATCTATGGGGAACATCTAAGGGAACCCGTGCAGCCCCCGAAGAAAGCCGGCCGGCGGTGTGCCGCTCCCCTGCGGAAGTGGGGAATGCGGCCAGGGGGAACTGCCCTTCCACGGAGGTGGAAGGGATAGTAGCCAACCCGGGAAGAACCAGCAGCAAACCCGGGGAGGGCCGAGCAGACGAAAGAACAGCGCAGGGTCCTGTGTTGCTCCTCCACGAAGACGGGGAGCGACATAATGGTGCCGTGACTCGGATATGAAGCCCAGGCAGGGTTTAGTGTTGCTCCTCCACGAAGAGGGGGAGCGACATAATGTGGCTGGGACTCGTCATAGGAAACCGAGGAGGTCACCTATGACTCGGAAAAGAAATCTATCTAGGCATGAAATAATAGCGGATACTAAACCTATTTTCGGATACGAAAACTAGGACGAGATAGTATTACTTTATGAAGGTAGGAAACGCTGAC